TTGTAGGGGACCGATAGAATTACATGGTATCAGGCCGGGTCGTGGGCGTCAAGATCTGCCAGTCGTCGAGAGACACGTACGCCTTCCTCCAGTTGACTCGGAAACCGCAGCTGCCGATGCTATAGAGGATGTCGATCAAACCAAGTTTGGTGGGTTCACCATTAAGGTAGCCCCTTAGGGCGCTGCTAGACCCTTTATTGGTCCACTTAGGTCGCCCATGCTACTCGACAATCCACTGAGAATCGTCGTCCCAATGACTCCTACAATAGGTAGCTGTCGCTGTGAGGCTAGTGAGTGCGAGATCGTCTGTTCATGGTCAGGGACTGGAGACGACCCTCCTATGGTGGGGGGCGTTGGAATGGCGGCGGCAACTATAACGAGGGATACTCTTCTGGAAACAGGAGGAGTTATGATAGGCGTGGCAGTGGCGGCGATTGGTATAGAGAAGGTAGGCCCTTGAGGTAACCTTCCTGGTGATGTAGTTCCCTTAGATTCTCGTGGGGGCCGCAGAGACGACTATGGGAGGGACATTGCAGCTCGTCGAGACTACCCTGAGTGAGCTCATCAGCATCATATTGCTATAAGTATTCAGTCCGACAGTTACAGTCCACCGTCAAGTCGTTCGAGAGCTGCTGAGGCCCAAGGGTCCTGGGACCGTGAGGGCGGCCGTGGTGGTCGTCGTGTAGAGGGCGACAACGGCGTCAGCTTTTACGGTGATAGGGAGTCCTCTCGCCCGGGTCGCTATGGTGGGGCCCCTAGGGGCGCGGTACAGCTGAAACTGGAGAACCTTCCAGAGGACATGAGCTGGCAGGAGCTCAAGCAACTAGGTGGGGAAGGAGTGGTATTAGGAGGAGGGCAGTTCTCTCATGCGTTTTAATCAGGCAAGGACTATGGCAGCTCTTGTTCGTTCGCCAGAACCTTCCGGGAGGGCCGAGTATGCTGCGGTGTGCTGGAGTACACTGATTCTGCACAGGTAGAGCACGTGATGTCTAGTATGGGGGGATAGGCATATGGTCAACTACATGTGTTGGGGACAATATGAAAATTCTTAGGAAATTTTGGGAAGTTCTCGTTGTTTTCTGTACACTCCTACTCTACTTGGTACGAAAATTTCGCGGAAACTTTTAGGTATTTTCGTTTCTAGTTCGTGTGTTGGCTGTTGAGCGAATATTCCAACACTACTGCTGTTGATAGTCCTCGTGCTCAGGTTAACGATGTTATTAAGGCCTTGGACAATAGACGTATTCAGGGGTGTACTGAACGTCTTCGCATCACCAGAAATGAGGGGTCTCGCAATATTGGTGAGATCTACACGTATGGTCATGGTTGGATTTGTCTCCTCCGGGGTGGAAAAATATGCACGTAGTCAAATACATGTGTAGGTGACATTCGTTGAAATTTTGAGGAAATTCCCATTGGTTTCTGTACGCTTCCAGCCGAATTTGTATGTAAACTTGTAGAATTAGTGAGGAAATTTTTCTGGACTCAGCTGAGAATGCGAACATTTATTCATCTAACACTGGTCTCCTCCTTTTCTGCAGGTGATGACGATGACAGCTCGTATGATATAAAAAGATACGACAGGGCCCCTCGTGGTGGTATGCGTTATTAAAACTACTCCCACAATACTTTTTCCGTCCATATTCGATTGTGGCGTCGTTGGGGTGGTATGTGGTCCACAGGTCAGCTTACTACTACATTGATACTAGTACTACTACTATTACTATCTGACTGCTTATGCGTTGAAAATGGGGTTAGTGATGGTGACGATCGATGCAATTTCTGGTTATGTACAGGAACCTGGCTTTACACAGTTATTGAATATTTATATTACAACTAGATATGATATCGCTGATGTTATTGGTGGACATATGTTACTAGGAGGCGGGTAGTTTGTGTATTCCCATTATGTCTGCTACTACTACTACTACAGCAGCAGCAGCTCGGCTGGAGGTGGAGAGGAAGATAGCCCTTGGGTCGTCGGCTGAGTTGGCCCGGTTTCTGTCCGCTATTGGGCCCCCTGTCCGCCGAGTTGTACTGCACGATACGTATTGGGATGATAGGAAAATGACGCTGGTCAGGTGACCTGGGGGCGGGACTTGATTTCTTATCAATGTGGGTACTATGAAAATAGGTATGTGGTTTCGGTGGTGGCCGCTGTGTATGTACCACTTCGATAGGACGTGTATAGGCATAGATGAAAATATGCTTACTATCATTCGAGACGCTTGGCAACTGGGTTGTTACATAGTGTAAAATATGCAATTCTATTATCATTATCCTGAGGGCGCGGAGTCTACAATATGAAGAATAAGCTGTGATTGTTATTGGGATTTTAGTGACACGTCTGGAAAGGCCGGCACAGAAATTGGGAGGTATGACGTGTCCAAATACTTAGGCAAGACCAATGGTTACGACTCCGTAATGGAGGTTGGGAAATGAAGATACCTGCTATCTCTAGGGGCTCTCATAGTGGGTCGTCGTCGACTTACAACGAGGTAGAGGGAGAGGCTAGTGTTAAACAGGTAGGGTTGTGGTCCCTTCTAGTGGCAGAAAGTATTCAGTTTCTATTCCCATCTGGTGAAGGCACTCTGCGTAGTCTACTAGAGGAAGACGGTTTTAAAGTTTTTGCGGAGCTCGTCAGCCATAGGGCGACCTACCACGCTGTGCAGGACGGCCGCGTAAGGGTCCGTCTGGTACCTCTTGAGAGGTAGTGCTGTTGTGCTGTAGGCAATCAACGTGGATGTAGACTCGGCTACCTTTCCGGACGATCCTGTTCCTTATTCCATAGTAGAGCTGGAGGTCTTGTCTGAGGCCTCTGTGGGAGATGACGACGGCGATACGAAGGTTGCTGCTAGTGAGTCTGTTATTGATGTAAGTTCTGCATTGTGGTAAGGGGCTATGTGTTGGCTACTACTCAGGCTTTTATGGAGCGTATGGGGATAGCAGGGAAGACGGTACGACCTCGCAGCAAGCTCGTCGAGTGAGTGGATGACATAGTGGTTTTGTCGTCGGTGAGTGTTGGTGGGCAGGTACCTCGCTCGCCACGATGAGGAGCGTCTGGTTGAGCTCGCGAAGACTTGTTCGAAGTATAGAAAGATAGTATGCGAGCTCATGGGGTCCGACTGGGTCGAAGAGCATGCCCCTGAGGAAGGAGAAGCATGATGGTGCCTATTGGCTCATCAGTGCCCTTGTCAAGTTTCCTATTGCTGTTTTTGATTACTGTGTTGAGCTGTTAGAACTACGAAGCTGGGGTGCACGGTCTGAGGACGTACACTATGTGAGAGTTGACTGTGGCAAGGGCTCGCAAATATGATAGCATGGTTTTAGTGATCATATCGTCAGCAACTGTGACAACGTAAAGAGTTTTCACGGGACTCTGCTACTCGCCATGGGTTCTCCCTCACTTTTCTAAGGCCAGCCTTATTAAGACTTGACGTTGAACTGAAGAGCTTGCAAGTTCTAAATCATGCTGCTAGTTTGAATAGCCGTTCAGTATTAGGTGTGGGGATGAGCAGAGTAATCATCATGGTCGCAAATCGATCACCTGGGCGAGCGCGTAGTGACTTGACTTAACTTCTCGGAGTAAGAAGTGTGCAAACGTTACTTGACCGGCATTATATATGAACTTATGCGTTCAGTTTCATGACTCTCTCTCCAGTGTATTGGTTCGAGTGTCATCATAACTCTTCAACCAGCCAAGACTACTAGCAAGCTTATTGGGACCATCTCAAAGCGGGAAATATAAAAACATACCTCGGCAATGGTCATCACCAACGACCATGCAGGCCAAGAGGACTGTCAGCCTTTATATCGACGACCCTCTGGGGACCGAGTCAGGCCTCGTGGGATGTCTCGGGAGGAGGCTGAGACGCAAGCAATTGTGGCGGAGGAGGCTGAGTTGAGGAGCCCCTTGCTGGTCCATCCGACGTCCCCTTCAGTGAGCTATATGATTAAACCACAGGGCAGGAAGAAACCTCTAACGCTGTGGGGAGCAGTTGCTATCATATTCTACTCTGTTTCTGGTAAGTTGCTGGAAGAGTGGTATTAGATATTTTCCGTCTATGAGGATTTCTTGTCTAGGAGGTCCATTTGGTACGGAGGACGCCGTGGCGGCTGGTGGGCCGTTTTGGGCTCTACTGGGATTCCTCATTTTTCCATTCGTATGGTGCTTGCCAGAGGCGTTAGTCACTGCTGAGATGAGCAGCACTTTCCCAAGCAACTGCGGGTACGGCCTCTACCGCTCTCTGAGCTCGTTATTGGAGTAGGTACGTGTCTTGGGTAACAGCAGCGTTTGGGCCCTACTGGGGTTTCCAGGAAGGGTTCTGGTCCTGGCTGTCGGGGGCCACGGACAATGCTATCTACCCACACTTGCTCATGACGTATCTAGCTGTGGCCTTCCCAATCCTCAACGAGAGAGTGTAGTACGGGGAGTGGTATGAAGAGGAATTACTCGCGGACCGTTGCTAGGTACAGCAACATTGTCCTTGTGATTCTGACGCTCTCGCTGAGTTATGTCAACTATAGAGGGCTCAAGGTGGGGCGTCTAAGGGCCTATCAGCCTCGGCACTGGTCGTTCAGGTTGTGGGGTGGCTTGCTGTTGCTATGATGTGCTTCGTGCTGTCGCCATTCATCGTGTTCATAGTCATGGGGGTACCACAGGTGGAGCCATCGAATTGGTTGTTGGGCCGAAACGACATGGAGTGGACGAAGTGGTTGAATGTTCTCTTCTGGAACCTGAACTATTGGGACTCGGTGTCAACCTTGGCTGGCGAGGTAGTAGGGTTGGTCACGATATGGGGGCACCTCCTTTCTCCCGGGGTTAGGTGGAGAACGCCCGGTCGGCGATGCCTAAGGCGTTGCTGCTAGCACTGTGTGTCACCTGTCTGGCATATATTCTCCCTCTGGCTATCGCTACAGGGGTCGATGGGTCATTTGCCCTCAAGGGAGATCAGGCGTTCGATGCGTGGCAAGCGGGCTTTCTTGGGAAGGTGAGAGGGCCGCTGTAGTTGGTGATGGTAGAGCGGGCCGCTCTTAGGTGGCGTATGATGTTGGGGGATGGGCCCTGGGCGGCTGGGTAGTCCTTGCAGCTGCTGTATCGAATATAGGGCAGTACCATGCAGAGATGTCATCGGACTCCTACCAGATACAGGTGAGCCTCGTCCACTAGTGTGCTGGTCTACCCTACTACGGTCAGGCTATGGCAGAGCACGGTTGGCTTCCTGAGAAGCTGGCTTACCGTAACCACTACGAGACCCCTACCTTTGCGATTTGCCTTCAGCTGGTTGTCATCCTCAGCCTTACGACTTTGGATTTCCTAGATATCGTGGAGCTCCTCAATTGCATGTGAGTTTTGGGTGCTGCTGCTGGCACCGTCCATGGTACTCATGAGTAGATACTGCCTTGCGGAGCTGCTAGAGTTCGCGGCCTTCCTGTATTTGCGTTACACTAACCCGGATATATGGCGACCATATACGATCCCTTTGGGCTTCTGGGGCTGTGTTATTCTGCTCTTGCCGCCCTCTGTATTCATATGCTTCATTTTGGGCGCACCTGTGGTGAATGCTGACTGGGGGCTGGTTGGCTTCACGTTGGGAGCAGTGGTCATTGGAAACGTCCTGTAAGGAGGAGGAGGAGGTGTGGGTGGGGCTTTATGGGACTTTCCTCAGGTACTTAGTATTGCAATATTGTCGAAGACGCGAGCTGCTGAAGTTCGTGTGTCACCCGCCGCGGGACTGGATCGACATCATGAGATGTAGCACTCCATGGAGGTCCTTCGAAGAGGCAGAGGAGAATGAGGTGGGTGGGTGGGTGGCTGGTCTGTCTATCGGGAGACCCTCGGATCGATTCTCGGCAGGGGCATAGTTGGGTGGTGCCCAGCAGGTATCGAACCTTGTATTATGACTGATCGACGACCTTCGGCCGAGGAATATATGTACCCTGCAAGCTGCTGGTCCTAACCACTTTAAAGCCTGTATGAATCTCATCAAGAGTGCGTTGTGTTTTGGGTGCATATTGGTTTTACTCCCAAGTTCATGTTTAACAGCTGGCGATGTCACGACACTCTCCGACCGAGAAAGGCGGCTCGAGCGCTGAGCTCGAGAGGCGTCTAGTAGAGGCACAGGCACGAACAAGGACGAGGCAGACGGAGCTGCTGGAGGAATGTGAAGGGAAGGACGATGGGCCCCCTGGGGCTGTAGTAGGGCTACTATCAAAATGCATTGTGAGAAGATTTCTTCAGAGGAGGTCGTCGCCACGCTCGTGTTTCCTGGCAACAACACCGAGACGGAGGGTGCCGATCAGTGCGGCATCTGTGGTGGGAGCTCCGGCGGAGGTCGTGGGTGAGTTGGAATGGCGGTGAGGGTCCCATAGGCTCCTTTAGAGCTCGTGGATGAGCGAGTGGCTCTACGAACCGAGCTGGCTGGGGCGGAGAAGAGGTTGGGTCTTCAAGAGGAACATCGAAGACGTTTGAGTAGTCGGTTGGCCTCAGCTAGTCGGCAAACTAAAGTAGGTTGAGTTATGGGAGATGGATGAGGTACTCAGCAGATAGAGCGGTCGAAGAAGCAACTGCTCGAGAGGAAAGCGGCTGAGATACTGCTGGCTGTGGAGGAGGCTGAGGGGGACCCAGAAGGGACGCTATCTAGGCTGGCTGAAATTCTGAGTACTTGATCTGTATTTCGTCATTAGGTTAATATTAAATATAATAATGGAGTTTCACGGCCCGTTTTACGTGAAGTGGTGTAAAACTCCGTGAAAAACGCGAAATACGCCTAGAAATAGTCGTTAAATGTGTTTTTCACTAGTGTTTTTCTTATCACGGTCGTGAAACTCCATTATCATTTGCTGTATTGGTTGGATAAATGCGATGGAGTTTCACTCTAGTGATATGAAAAACAGTAGTGAAAAAATATATTCCACGACTACTGCATATAGCGAATATCGGGTTTCCACAGAGTATTACGCCACTTCACGTGAAACGGGTGAAACTCCGATATGAATATGAATGTGGTGTGTAGATGGTAAGGTGGCGCAGCTGCTGTTGCGAGCTTCAGACAAGATCAAGGAGGAGAGGGTTGCTGTGATGGCTTTGAAAGGGGAGAAGGTGAAGACTATTGTGGAGTCTAAAACGACTCGTTTCCTGAGTAGAAGCGTCTGTTAAAAAAGCTGGAGGAGACCGAGAGGGAGGTCGTTGGACTGAACGGCGAGATGAGGGAGATGCGGTTGACGCTCACAGAAAGTCTGAACTCTTCGAGGGAAGAGGTTGAGATGTAGTGGCTAGGCGTATTGCCTTGGTGGCAGCTCGGGTGTTTTTGCCAGGTTTCGACGGCGGAGCGAAGCAGCGGAGAAACTCTGCGGAGTAGTGTCGGCTCGGGCGGATAAGTTAGGGAAGGAGCGCAAACAGCACAGGGAGTATATCGAGCTGTTAGAGTCAGCGGTGGAACGGTTGGAGGGGGAGTTACGGTATAGGAGGCGTCAGGAAGTGGGTGATGAGGAGGAGCAGTTGGAGGCCTTCCGACGGAGGCTTACAACGGGGGCTGGGTGAGGTCAGTCTCGAGTAGTGGTGAGAGATAGAGCATGATTGTTATAGGGAGGAGCCGTCGGTGGGAGTGAGGGCTACGGCCCAGGCAGATTCGGTGGGTGGGTTTAGCGTGGTGGAACGTTGGAGATTTGTCATGTCGTTACCTGTGGCTACTCTCTAAAACTGATAGCGTGCTGAGTGGTTGACGAGTCCTGTGTCCATTTCCCTTAGAGATGACCGCTGGAAGATCTGCCCATAGCAGTCATATTGGCCACGACACTGTTCTGGCCGTTGCATGTTGGAGTTGTGACTTGGTCTCCTCGAGTCGTTGGTCTTGCATTTCTAGGGGCGGCAGTTTCTAGGTCAGTTGCTGTTGTTGTTGTCGTCACTTTCCTTTTCACTATGGCAGTCTACCGTCCAGGCCTCGGTCGGGAGGCGCCTCGCGATGCCCAACAGAACGCTATTGACATCGTTGCTGGTCTCACGCCTGCAGCCAACAGAATCGGTCTCAAGCAGGTTTTCCAAAAATACGGCGATGTAAGAGTCATGTGGTGGTGGCGATTTGTGCGAGGTGTGGTATGTCAGATCACAGTGTGTTGGCTACCACCTGTGGACAAACGCAACGAGATGGCCGCATACATTCGTTACGAGCGTTCGGACAGTGCCCAAGCCGCATTGGCAGCGTGTGACAGCGGAGAGGTAGTCACAGCTCTCGTCCAGACGCTCTAGTATTATTCAACCATCAAATATAGGAGTTGGAGGCAGGGAATCATCCAGGAATTTATAATGTTCTCGGGGATGAACTCATTTTGAATTTTCCACGGATGGCGAGGAATACATTCTTCAATCAGTTTCCCATGTAAATGTTCGAATATTCCCCATTGTTATCAAACCCTAGGGGACGTTATTTTCCAAAGCTAGATGGGTCCCTGACTAGAGACTTCGGTCGTCTTTCAGGTTGTGCTGAATGGTATACCGCTGAAGGCTGAGTATAGATCTCGTGCGAAGTCCAGTGCAAGTTCAGCGTACGCAGCGAGGGAGCGTGGTGGTTTCAATAGGTGGGGTCTGCTCTCTCGCGTGGAGTGCATTTCTGTTGGTTCATCAGAAGTGGAAAACGGAGGAGTTATGGCGCGCTGTCGAGCCGCAGTAGGAGTAGAGAACGTCGAAGGGCGAAGTGGGTCTACATGTGTTCCGATCTGCTATGCAGTTGTTTTCTGTCAGATATGGATACAGCTCGTCATCATCCTCATCACGTTCACGTTCCCGGTCCTACTCGGGTGATAAGAGGAGCCGCAGTTACGACAGTCGTGACGGGGACCGCAGCCGCCGACATCGCCGTTCCTCTCGCGATCGTAGGAGTAGTAGAAGTCGGTCTTACTCGAGGGACCGCAGCGACCGCAGGCGAGATGACAGGTGACCACTCTTCAGGGGAGGGGGGCATAGGATTAACGTTAGTATTAGCGCAATAGCTAGATCTAGTAGTGAGGGCGGCCGGCGGCGGGTAGTTCGCAGGTACACAATGAGCAGTTATTAGATGCACTGTTTTACCACTAGGTAAATTACTGTTGTTAACACCCTAGGCGTTCGTCGGACTACTACAGAAGACGCTCTGATTCCCGCCAAGACCGGTCAGAGCGTTATGACCGCAGTGGTGGAAGAGAAGCCCGAGAGAGCAGCAACAGAGAGGGAGGAGACCGACGATGAGCAGACTGAGATGGCAGTGGAGGAGGAGAATGTTTGCGGCGTATATTCGTATATTCTCTTATACCAACATTACACTTGAGTTCACTAGTTGCAGGGGGGTCAGCGATAAACGTTGAGGACGTGTGATGAGGCTTGGCAAACACGTTGACATGCCGATCCGAACGTGGTCATGGAAACCATCATAAAGCACCTGTTAAGAAAAACTTTTGTCCGAAGCATCGACAATTTATCGATACGATAAAGCAATATTCAAGGAGACGCTGCTGAGCGTATCACGAGCACCTTATCCGGGGGTATTGTGCTGGGTAGTCATCACGATGATGTCGAGTCCGCGAATAGAAGTGAAAAAATGCGGCTTCGCTCCGCCCGCGCTCCACTAAAATCGATCACGTGATCGATCGAGAGTTCGCGCCGACCTAGTGTAGCGACCCCGTACACCAGCACCATGGCCGTTGGCAAGAACAAGAGACTCACCAAGGGAAAGAAGGGAGGCAAGAAGAAGGTGTAATAATGGGTAGTAGTAGTGACAGTGGCAAGGTCTGTCAACTCTATAGAAGCATCGGATTCGGTTCCTGGGTATATTATATAGTTTGATTTGTCCTTGTTATTTCAGAGGAGATCCCTTCCTCAAGAAGGAGTGGTACTCGGTGAAGGCGCCTACTATGTTCTCCGTCCGCGAGGCCGGCAAGACTTTGGTCACCAAAACCACCGGTACCAAGGTAGTAATTCTTACCCGTTTCGTTTCACTTTCTCGAGTTGATCGTTCACTGTTCATGGTTGTTATATGCTTCTGTTTTCAGATTGCCTCTGATGCCCTCAAGGGTCGCGTTTGCGAGGTCAACCTAGCCGACTTGAACTCCAACGAAGATCACTCCTTCCGTAAGATCAAGTTGGAGGTCCAGGAGGTCCAAGGCCGCAACGCCCTCACCGACTTCCACGGCATGGACTTCACCCGTGACAAGCTCTGCTCGCTCATCCGCAAGTGGCAGACTTTGATCGAGGCCCACGTTGACGTCAAGACTACTGATGGTTACATCCTCCGCCTCTTCTCCATCGGCTTCACCAAGAAGCGCCCGGAGTCTGTCAAGGCCAACTGCTATGCCAGCGCTGCTCAGATCCGCAGGATCCGCAGAAAGTAATGCGGGTTTTCTTCAAAGAGTTGAATTGTAAAATTCATTTTCTTTTTCATTTAGGATGGTTGACATCATGACCGCTGAGGCTTCCAAGTGCCGCATGAGTGACCTCGTCAAGCGTTTCGTCACCGAGTCCATCGGTGCCGAGATCGAGAAGCAGACTCGTTCCATCTACCCTCTTAAGGATTGCTATATCCGTAAGGTAAAGATCCTCAAGAAGCCGAAGTTCGACCTCACCCGTTTGATGGAGCTCCACACTGAGTCCGCTGAGGAAGGAACCGCTGTTGACCGTAACGTCATCCCCGAGTCCGAGGAGGCCAAGATCCAGCTGTAAGCGTTGTACTCTCGTCATCGCAACAGCAAAGTTTCTTTTGGCATACTCTGAGGCTCTTGCAACGGTGCTAGGGATATTGGCTGGAAGTAATTGATAGAGTAGAGTTGTGTTGTTAGTATGTGAGGGGTTTGAGGGGAATTATGTTGGGGTAATTGCTACTCACAAGACTTTTAGCTGTAGTGTGAGTAAGCGAGGATTCATGTTTGTATAACAAAGTTCCACCCGTGATATGAAAACGCTAGTGAAAAACATATTTCACGACTACTGCATAGCGCGGATATCGCCGAGTTTTACGCCACTTTCCGTAAACCAGGTGAAATTCCAATGTGACTGATCTACTGGCGGTTCTGAATTGACATGTCTTGATGAGAAGACTCGACTGTTAGCGTTTCACCCGGTCGAAATTGTCTACACTTTGGCGCAATTTTTCCGCCGGGTTATTCCGAAGGAATAAGTTGGATCGACAAGTAGCAATGTGATTCGAGTGGGGTCATTCGGATGATATGCTCAATGATGACAGGGATGATATGCAGCCAACCGATCTTGGAAAGGAAAGACAAATTCGCTGTAATATCGAGTTGAGAGATAAATCGGGAGATAATTATGTAGTTGTGGACGGTGGTTGTCTCGACTTGTGTTCCGAGTTTGGAGTGGCAGCGGATAACTAATAAACTTCATATACGGCCAAGTGACCGATCAAACATCGACATCCGAGACTGCATGCGTGTGAGCATAAATGTCAGCTATTGTCTCCAGTGTCCATGGTAGCAGCTGCAGGAGCACCGTCGACATCAATCACCGCTTCATTCAAATGTATACTACTACTTTGAGGGGTCTGCAATCCATATGGATGGAAGACTCAAGAGGGAAGGGACTTACTGTCAGCCATACTCCTTTCGAGAACTCGAGAGAACACAATAACGGTGGGGCTAACATGCATTGCAGTACTTTGCGGAT